TTTATTTTTTCAATTGCGCAAGATTTTTGTTATACTTTATTTTAATTCTTATTGTTTTCTGCCTGTTTTGCCTTTTATTTGTCCAGTCTCTTGCAAGTTTTGAGTATGTTGAGCCAACTGGAAAGGATCTTGGAATTAATGTGAGAAAAAAGGCAGAAACAATTGTGGCTCTTTTAAATAACAAAGACAAAATTCATGAAGTTAGAAACAAAGCTTCTGCCAATCGTGAAAAGTAAGTTCATGCTTTTCCAGATCTAAATAATTTTTGATTGATTTAAGTCTATAAATTTCATTATTGCGCTGAACGTGTTCTAATTACCTACCCATCGCTTATCAGGTACTTTGGACTTTCATCATCTGGAATAACGTACAAGTCAGGCACAGCATCATTTAGTAGCAGTAGCAGAAAGAGTAGTGATCGATATGGAGGTTTTGGCAATACTAAAGATGATGATACATCTCAGGATAGTTACAAAGAGAAGGATAAATATGATGAATATAAATTTGAGAAGACTACCAAATCAAAGAAAGAGCCTTCTCGCTATGGCAGGTATGCATTTTGACCTCCATTAAGATGCAGTATAGTTACTGACATTTTTTTTTTTTTTATGAATATTATAACTACTATGACTACTTTATTGGTGCATGTGTAGTTGATACCTCTTTTGTTCAGAAGTTTCCATTTATTTTCTGCCTGTTGACCAGTGATAGCTGAAAAAGTATTCCTGGAATATACTTAATTTCGTTTTGTTGTCTATGCTCGGGAGCAATAAGTACTGATGGGTTTTTGTTTTATGGGACTGAGACTAATCCGAAATTTAGCATCTCTTTTGGGGCCTTGCTCAACTTGCAAAGTGCATGTGTGATTGACAAGTGGATGTTTTAAGTTATTTCTGTGCACTGCTTAGCCTTCCTAATTTTGCGAACCTTTTGCAGCAAGGATCAAGACACTGTAGCTGTTGGTGCTTCAAAAACTTCAAAAATGACTAGCAAGCCTGATAAAAATGCTGCAGCTGCTTCACAAAGCTCAAGTGTAGCGTCGAATAATTATGATGATGATGATTTTGATGATTTTGATCCACGTGGGACGACTAATTCTAGTAAGTATTCTTTACTTGTATTATCATTTTTAACACATTCAGAAAGGCTCACTTTTGGTTACTGACCGGGTATTCAACAAAGAAAAAAACCAGTTATATCTGATACACACACCACTTCTATATATGATAACACAACTGAAAATTCCAATGATGTTATTGAAGGATCCATGCCATTCGTAAGCAGCTCCGAGCCTTCTGCTTAGCATGGTTAAACTCTAAAAGTTCCAGTGCCATGATGAGTTTTCTGCAAGAGATGCTATAGTAACTACATCCCAGTGTTGTGATCTTATAGACTACTGAAGCTAATAAAGTATTTCTTATAGATGGTTTGAAATTTACTTTTCCTTGAAATTTTTGTTGAACAGAGACTCCTGCTGGAAGTAACCAAGTGGATCTTTTTGGTCAAAATTTGATCGGCGATCTTTTGGATTCACCAGTACCTGTTCCAACTGCTCAGTCTGATTTGAACAATGATAAGTCAGAGGTTGATTTATTTGCTGATGCTGATTTTGTATCAGCAACACCCCAATCGGAATCAGGGAAAGCCCCTGTGCCTCAGGTAAGGTCTCCACCAGCAGCCAAAAATGAGTTTGGCCTTTGCTTAATTTGATCTGAGATGCAAAAGTTATGCTGATGGAAACTACCATGTAATACTTATGTTTTATTGCACACATCATTTATGCAAATGCAGAGTCGTATAACCCATCGTAGTAAAATTTTGGGTTTTCTTTTTAAAAAGAAACAACTATGTATAACTTTTAATATTTTTATTCATGTGTGATTCGAGTAGAAAAACCTTCATAAGAACTTTTGCATTTTATTGACCGGCTTCATTCCCAGGATTTGCTAATCTCGTCAATCGTTAATTATTTCTGTGAACCTTTTTATTTCTTTCTTGTTATTATTTTTCCTTCCTTATATTTTGGGGTGCAGTGTATGATATGTTTCTTTTAGGTTCTTTTATCCTCACCTCCCTTCTTACCCGAAGGGTTATTTAATTTACACTTATCTGTTTGAGTATAACTGGTTTCACTTGAGGTCATTCTAGTCCAATGAAATGTGCTTGCTACAGGCAATGCAATGAAAAGAAGCATAGAAGTTATGATCTGGAGGTAGCTATTGTGCACTCTGAATTAAGAAAGATTTGCATTTAAATCATGTTTGTAAATTGTACGGAGAGAATGGAAACTGCCCAAATGTTCCTCTATTCAGATCCTGATTAGTGTTGGCTAGAAAATATAGGGTTTTATGGGGCCTGGGAAAATGTTTATTGCTTTTATCAGATGGCTGATTGTCATTGTAGTTTTTTTTCCTGGGTAAATTCCATTCTCAGTAAGTATGCTCCACTCTAGTAGTGTGTAATTGTACTTCAATTTTGTTAAATCGACTAAAGCACTTCAATTTAATTTCAATAGGGTATCTACACTTTAATTTGATTTTAATTAAGGTAACTCAAGGCAATTCCGTTAACAAAAATAAATTGCTTGACAATAAAAAAAATGATGGTCATCACACATGGAACAAGGGGCAACTTCATTTATTAACTGACACATCATCTATTTTAAACTGTCCACGTGATGGAATTGGACGGATACCCAGTTGAAATCAAATTGAAATGTAGTTACCCAATTGGACAAAATCGAAGTACGATTGACACTAGTGGGAAGTATAGTTACCGTGTTAGTTACTGCATATGGAATTTACCCTTCTTTTTTCTTTTGACTTCATTTACATGCACATTTGGGAATCTCCTATCACTTCTGGTGGTATTTCTAGTGTGTTTTGATATACACATGAGATTCTCCTCTTCCTGCTGCTGCTTTATTGACTCCCTGATTCCATTCATGCTGGGAGTCGGATTGCTTAGTCAGATATTCTTAGGATGAAAAACATCGTTAGTCACTCAACTTCCGGTAAATTTTTATTTTGGGCACCGATTTTTTGTTCCATCTTGGTCAGTCAACTTCCTTTCAGTTTCATTTACATCACCAAGTCAACCACCACTATAAAAAGTTAAGAATAGTACCTCGTAGCGAAGGACGTCGGAAACTGCAATGTGGAAATCTGCCACGTAAGTCAATCCATTAATTTTCAGAAGCTGATTTAATGATGTTATTGAAACAGAAAGGAAAGCTGAGCATCAAGCTTTAAAAGAGAAAAGAATGTCCATCAATAACATGAAAATAAAATGAGTGACCAAATGTGTTTTTCACCCTATATTCTTATGCAGATTCTTTATTTGTATCATTTTTGGAAACGGTGGGTGTCAGTTAGCTTGAAGGCTTAGCTAAAGTACTTAAAATTTCTGAGTCTGTTTCATTCTTTCAAGTACTTGCTTTGATCCTGCTAATTCTCGACATTTTTCCGATTTGTACAGGGCAATGTTGATCTATTTACTCCCCAGCCTGCCCCTTTTCCCGCTGTTTCTGCAGCATACGATTTCTTTGCTGCACCTGATCCTGCCCCACAGCCTGACAACAACGCTTCAAAATCTGATGCAACTACTAATATATTTGATCCATTTGCTGCTGTACCACTGAACAATTTTGATAATTCAGACCCATTTGGCTCATTCACTTCTCTTACAGTACCTATATCAACAGCATCTACCGAACACTCTTCTAATGATGGAAGCAATGCAAATGGGAATGGAACTTCAATTGAGACCAAGCCTGTGCCCAAGAAGGATTCATTTCAAGTTAAATCGGGAATATGGGCTGATTCTTTGAGTCGTGGAATAATTGATCTAAATATATCTGCACGTAAGTTTTCCATGCTGGCTTTAAGAATTTAGTTTGTTGAAGCGGTTACTATGCATTACCTGCACATTGTATCAACACCATGCTTTTCTTCACTCATGTTTGGCTAAGCTTAAAAGTAGGGTTATTTTTTAATAACTTGTCTTCAAAAATGATTGAAGAACTTACATTTTCCTCGCTTCAGTTAAAAAAAAAATAAAAAAATGGTTACCTTTACCAAAATAGTTTTTGGATTAATGTGTCAAAATAAGTTGCTTACGAGTTTCCATATTTCACCAATAACGAGATAAGTTACTTTTAGAACTTCACCTATGATTGGTACCTATATTTAAAAACATTTTTAACCACACATTCTCCCAAAATATGCTTTTTTTACAAAATCTATTCTAAAAAATCTTACGTCAAACATGCCCATAAAATGCAAACTTCTTAAGCTTGGCTAGAGCACAAGAAGCTTATATTTTAGCAGTATTAATACTTGTAAAAAGTTTGGTATTTATACCATGACTAGATAACTATCCCGACAAGTTCTTGATTTCTGTATTATACCGCATTCTTGCAGCCAAGAAGATTAACTTAGCAGATGTTGGCATTGTCGGTGGGTTGACCGATGGATCAGAAGAGAAGGACAAAGGACCTATAACTTCATTTAACATGGGTCGAGCCATGGGTAGTGGATCTGGACTTGGTAAATCCGGGTTTATATCTACATCAACAGGCGGGGACGACTTCTTCTCAAACCTAGGCAGCCAACAATACGAATTCAGCAGCTTTCAGAAATGAGTTCATTTTCTATTGTATTGTCCAATTTTCCATTCAGCATTCTTTCGTGAACTTTACCAGGAACTGAATTGAGGTGTCTTGAATTGCTTGTGTAAACAAGAAAGGGGTCGAAATTGTGCCTATTACCCAATATTAAAGATTTTCTTATAATCTATATATGATTGAAAAGCTTGGAGATTTGAAAGATAATTACCTCTTAAGAAAAATTATACCATCAAAATTCTTGGCTGTACTGCTGGAATGTAGCCGGTTGTGCATGTTTGGCTAAACTAAGAATAATTTAGGACTCATATAAACTATCCTATCTAAATATGTTTTTGGAAACAAAAAACTACTTATTTTACCAAACACGTCTCCACAGACTACAAAATCCAACAAGGATCTTGGATTCTATCTCTCCACCATTGACCATAGTAAATAAATGACTAATTTTAGTGTCAAACGCTTAGTCATACAAGTTATATCCCCAAGGACGTATTATTTTTATGAACTAAAACTGATATGATGCAATAATGCCAACAATATCTACAGAACAGGTAACAATTATCAGTTGCAGAATTGAAGACACCAAATCAGCGTCCTTGCAACTCATTATCCACCGGCTATGTCGAATCTTGCCTTTTTCTCTTCCTGTATAATTTGAAAGATTCGAGCAGCAGATTCAGTAGCAGACCTGGCATTGTGAGGCACAACCTTGATAACTCGTGCAGGGTGCTCCAGCTCAGGAGGCTTAGGACCAGAATCCGGGATGTCAATAGCACGAAACGCAGCGAAAAGTGGACGAGCATTTTGTTTTTTAACTGTGCTACCAGCCCCACTATCTTGCAATCTCCCACTCGGACTACTTGCAGTGCTACCTTGTAATTCACCGTCCTTACATGCATGCAACCTTGGAACATCTGGACGGGATTTGCTCGTCTGGCTTGGATTATTAAATGAGTTCTGATGTTGGGCACTGAAATTGGCTTCCTCGGCTGATAATTTATCCGGTGTGGCTAAGGGGTTCATTTGATCCACGGACGAACCTGAAAAGGCCGGATTCATCATGGGCATGCCGTATGGAGGGAAGTAACTAGCAGGTTCAGCCGGAGGAAAGGAAGGTAACTGATACTGATGATGTGGGGTCGGGACTCCGTGTGCAGGAGTTGAGAGATTACCCATCACCGGAGTTGATCCCGGAGGTCCATAGACAGGGCCCACAAACTCGGGTCCGGGATATGGCTTGTACACTAGTCCTTCAGAAGGAGACATCACTGGAATTAACCACTGTTGCCTGGGTGGAGGATTGAAACACCACGTTCCAGCATTGGGATTATTACTAATGGATGGTGCCGGAGGATTTTTAGAAAGTGGTTGACCGTTTGAAGGTGGCACACCACTTTGCATGGGAGAGAGAGATGCCTTCCCCACTGTATTTTCGATCGAGCATTCAACTGTATAATCTGGCTTCTCGGAGTCAACTTTGTTCTTGAAAACACCTGGAAGTGCTTTAAGAACATGGTCGAATGGGAGTTTCTTTGAAGGCGAAGCCTTTACAGGTTTGCTGAAATAAGAAGCGTCCTCAACCAAAATATGTGGCAACCCCGCAATCAATCTCTGAACCTGATACAAATGAGAGATTATCCCCCACAAAAGCTTAATCAATTTCTAAGCAGAAGGTACAGAAAAATAAAAAAGACTTCATTACACCACATTGATGCTCAAATCTACTTAAATTGAATTCTCACCTTGATCAATCTATGCAACTCGAATACTTGAACTGCAAAAATTCTTTGTTGACTGTAAAGAATGAGAAAAACAGGGTTAAATACACGCAGTAGGAAAGAATCATGTTACGCAGAAACAAAGAATAAGATGTGCCACTTCTCTCAGGAAGAGGATCCTCTAAATGGAAAACCACCTCATCCAAAAGCTTCCAAGGTTAGAGACAAGGCACATTTTTTTATTAAATATAGTCTTCAATATACCCTTGTCATGCAGGCTAAATTTATTTTCCATCAAAGGCCTGACACATGCATAATTTTAGTCTCATAATTTTTATAAATGGGTGAGACAAGACTTAATCCCATAACCTTTGTCAGCTCTAATATTATATCGAACTACATTGCCTAAAAGCATAAACTATTAGATTTGGAGACACATTTATAAAGATATAGTCTTCAGTAGTCCAAAAAATATTGCAACATTATGCAAAAGAGTGGTCGATGTTTGCCTATGTGGAATTATATCAATGCGTGTTTACTCATAACATCACTAGAAACTGTTTCTACAACGATAATTTCTGAAAAGGCAGAAAGAAGAAAAGAGGAAGTCAATTTATGAAAGTCTCAGCTCAACAACAATCCCGATGTACAAGAAAAACCACCTCCCAACATTGCATCAATTCTCGGAATTTCTTTCTTGTGAATGTGGATATAGCTAGAATCTTTATAGCAACTTAAGTCTCTGCTAAATGATTCACACTATAACACTATATAAAAGAAAGACAAATATAGCCTTGTTTGAGCCCCATTCTTTTGGAAAAATGCATTTTTCAACAGCGTTTTGACATCATTTCAACCACACATTCTTCAATAAAATAATATTACATGCAAATCCAAAACTTTTTATTATTTTTTAACCACATATTTTCCATCAATACACTATTCAGAAATTCATTCTTCCCCAAAAATGGGGCTCAAACAAGGGCATAATGGGAACGTAGATCACATTAATAACTTTCAAGCTAAGGATATAACGATGATGACTTGTAAAGCTAAACACAATACATTACTTAAATCGATAAAATAGCCATTCATACATGGTCAATGAAGAACCATCGACGTCTCATTGTTTTCTACTTTCATAAAGATCCATTAAATGCGGTCAATTAAAAAAAAAAAAAGTTAATCTACAAGAAAAGGTTATCTACCACAACCCAGTTTTTCTCCACACTAACGACTTTACATAATGTGCCTCCTTCCCCACACTTCAACTGATCTCAGATGAAAAAATATATATATATATATTAGATTCTTTGCTTCTCTGTCAAGAAACAAAAATTGAAACATTTTCCGGTGCCCTTCGCTCTCCAAACACCAGACCAGAAATGTAGGTGCCAGATCCTCTACAATAGAAAAAGAGTTGGAGGCAGAATCCCAGAACAATCAAAAGCACAAAGGAAATGGTCCACCACAAGACAACTCACCTCAACCCAAATTTCTATACACCATTTTGTCCGGCTACAAAAAAGGTGATCTTCTGCATATTAGAGTATTTAACGCTAATTAGAGGTTTCCATGTATAAAATTAGTAGTTACCATAGAATCAGGGATTTTTGATTTTGTATTCTTTCCTTAATTTTCTTTGTAATATTCTATATATATTGAAGCAATACATACCGAAGATTTATTGAGCAAAATTACTGTCATGGTATCAGAGCCCTAACCTCTCTCGTGCATGTGGTCGAGGTGTGGGCTATGTTTTTTCTTGCTCAGGCAGCAATCGGTTCTTGGTTCTTCATAGTAAGACATCACATCACGGTGGTCGCCTTTTGGTTTTTCGGCGGTCGATTGATTGTTCATAATCAACACCACCTGGTTTTCTCATAGTCGGCGTCTTCAGTGTGCTCCGGTGGTCTGCTTATTTTTCAATTTGGTGTATTTCTAGACTCTTGCGCATTTTTTAGGTTGTTGCGGTGCATCTGTAAGGTTGGTCCAAGTTCTTTCTTCTTCGGTCGTCCGCGTTGTCGCTTCCATCGCGTCTGTTCTTGGTTGGTCTTTGCTTTGGTTTGTCAGTGGGCCATTGTGTTGGGCTTGTATTGATTTAAATTGGAAGCTACCTTTTATTGATTCAGACTATTATTTTTTGTAGTGTGTTAGACTATTATTTTGATTAATTATTAATTAGCCTGAATTCTTTGGATTGGGCAAAATTTATTATGTTAAATTGGGATTATTGGTTGGATTATACACAATTCACTCATGTCAACTGAAAAGAATGAATCTGTTTGCATTCGTTTTATTGGAAAGAATTATTTTTCATGGGCATTTCATTTTCAATTATTGGTCAAGGGCAAAGGTGATTTGTGAGATACATTGATGGTAGTCTTCCACCTCCTGATCAAGAGAAGGAAAAGGAGAAGTACCTTGCCTGGAAATCCAAAGATTCCAGGATTATGACCTGGATTATTGGATCCGTTGATGCTTAGATTGCTCTTAATCTCAGGCCTTACAAGTCTTCTCCTGCTATGTGGGAATTTTTGAAGAAAGTCTACACTCAAAGCAACAATGCTCGACGACTTCAATTAGAATTTGAATTGGCAAATTTTTCTCAAGATTCTCGATCTATTGAAGAGTTTTATTCTAGATTCTCCAATCTGTGGGCCGAGTACATGAATATCATCTATGCTTCAGTTTCATCTGATAGTTTGGAGGCAGTACAAGTTGTGTATGAAGTTACAAAGAAGGATCAATTTCTCATGAAGTTGCGAGCCGAATGTGAACCTATTCGATCCAGTCTTATGAACCGTGAATCTCTTCCAACTTTGGATGGCTGTTTGAGTGAGTTATTAAGGGAAGAGCAGCGACTTATCACTCGTGCTTCTTTAGAGCAACAACAGAATCAAGTAGAACCAATCCCTGTTGCATATGCTGCTCAAGGGAAATACAGGTCTCGGGGTATGTCTGGTGTGCAGTGTTACAGTTGTAAGGGATTTGGTCACATGGCTCTTCAATGTCCTAAGAAGGTATGCAATTATTGCAAAAAAGCTAGACATGTGATTAAGGAGTGTCCTATTCGCCCTCCAGGAGTAGGTCATATTGCCGCTACCACTTTAGCCTCTAATTTTGCCGCTACCACTCAAGTTTCAGCCTCTCTTAGTCCTACCCAGAGCTCCGTCACTCCAGAGATGATCCAGCAAATGGTCATTTCTGCTTTGTCTACCTTACGTGTCTCAGGTAAGCCGCCAACTACTTGTTTTCCTTGGTTATTAGATTCGGGTGCATCTAATCATATGACCCATGATCCTCTATTACTTAGTAACATCAAGCCATACATTGGACCCCTCAATATACATACTGCAGATGGTAATAATTTGCCTAATATTTTAGTATCTCCAAAATTATCCACTAATCTTATTTCTGTTGGTCAACTTGTTGATAACAATTGTACTGTCTTTTCTTCTTCTGGTTGTGCTGTGTAGGATCAAGTGTCCGGAAAGATGATCATGAAGGGGGCCTAAGGAGGGACGTCTATTTCCTATCACACCGAAGCCAGTTTCAATTTTTCCTTCCGTTTGTTATTCTGCTATTTTTGACATATTTGACTAGCATAAAAATTGGGACATCCCAACTCTAATGTATTGCAATATTTGTTAAACTTTGGTTTGCTTGGTAATAAAACTCCTGTTTCGATTTCTTCTATACCTGTTGATTGTGCTTCATGTAAACTTGCAAAGAGTCAAGTTTTGCCTTTCCCTTCTCATGGTTCTCATGCGTTGCATCTTTTTGACATTGTTCATAGTGATGTATGGGGTATTGCACCTGTGGTACCTCATGTCCATTATAAATATTTTGTTACCTTTATTGATGACTATAGTCGTTTCACATGGGTTTATTTTCTCCGTGCAAAAAGTGAAGTTTTCTCAGTTTTTCAAACTTTACTTGCCCTCATTGACAACCAATTCTCCTCCTCCATCAAGATCTTACAATCTAATTCGGGAGGCGAATATATGTCTAATGAGTTTCACACATTCCTACAGACCAAGGGTATTATTTCTTAGCGATCTTGTCCTTCTACTCCTTAACAAAATGGGGTGGCGGAATCGACCTTCTTGACATTTTTAGAGCTCTTCTAATTAAGTCTTCGATTCCTTCTCGTTTTTGGTTTGAAGCTTTGTCTACCGCTGTGCATCTCATTAATCGGTTGCCATCTCCCACTCTCAATAATGTTTTTCCATTTTATAAGCTCTTTGGTCATCATCCTACATACTCTCATTTACGGACTTTTGGGTATGTTTGTTTTGTTCATTTACTATCACATGAAAGAACGAAACTCACACCTTAATCTGTTAGGTGTGCTTTTCTGGGATATAGTCACATTGCCTTAGGATCTCTCGTAATGTTGTCTTCTTTGAAAAACAATCTTTCTTTACTCAAGACACTGTTATTTTTCCTCCTGTGTGCTCTGCCTTGCCCAACTTTCCTACAGAATTCTCTCGATACAAGCCCGGTCTCATTTACTCTCGAAAGCAGGTAGCACTGATCACTGATCTCGACCTTCTCCCTCCGACGACTGTCCCTCCAAGTCTCCATGATTTTCCACTCACGACATGAGATCCTTCACCAGATGATCATTCACCTCCTAACACTCTCCATGGCTCTTCTCGTGTTCATCGACCACCAAATAGGTATAGTTTCTCCTCTCATAGCTCTATGTCAGCTACCCTTAACTCAATTACTATTCCCTCCTCCTATAGATAGGCTATGGAACAAGAGTGTTGGCAGCAGGCAATGAATGCAGAACTTGAGGCCCTCTCGGCCAACCAAACTTGGGATATTGTGCCCTGTCCACAGTCTGTGAAACCCATTGATGGTAAATGGGTATATTCAGTGAAGCTTCGATCAGATGGTTCTCTTGAACGCTACAAGGCTCGGTTGGTTGCCTTGGGTAATCATCAGGAATATGGAATTGATTACAATGAGACATTTGCTCCCGTTGTTAAAATAACTACTTTTTCGTCTCTTGTTATCACTTGCTGCATCTCGATCTTGGTCTTTACACCAAATGGATGTCAAGAACGCATTTTTACAGGGTGATCTCAAGGAAGAAATTTATATGAAACTTCCATCTGGTATGCCTCTTCCCTCAGCTCACTATGTATGTAAGCTAAAACGATCTTTGTATGGCCTTAAGCAAGCTCCTCGAGCATGATTTGATAAGTTTCGCCGCACTCTCTTGGATTTCTCCTTTCTCCAAAGTCAGTACGATGCCTTTTTGTTCCTTCATAAGTTGTTTTCTTGTTAGTATGTGTTGATGATATTATTATCTCTAGATCTGACAACATCCTTATTAAAAAACTTCAGCAACATCTTCACTTGGTTTTTTATATGAAAGACCTTGGGCAGCTTACTTATTTCCTTGGCTTGGAGGTTCACTCTGCCCCACATGGTATCTTCTTAAACCAACACAAATATATTCAAGACTTGATTCGATTAGCAGATTTATCTAAAGCCTCCTCAGTTGATACTCCGTTGGAACTTAATGTTAAATATCCGAAAGATGAAGGCGATATTCTTTCAGACCCTACTCTATATTGAAAGCTGGTGGAGAGTCTCATCTATCTCACTAAGATATCTCCTTTGTAGTGCATACTGTCAACAAATTTATGAATACTCCTCGTCATCTCCATTTGGTAGCAGTCCGTTGCATTATTTGATATCTTATTGGAACTCCTCATCATGGCCTATTCTTTTCGGGGGGGGGGGACATCTCTTGAGCTCACTGCTTATAGTAATACTGACTAGACTGGTTACCTTGATTCTCGTCGATCTATGACTGGATGGTGTATCTTTATAGGTGGTGCTCTTATTTCTTGGAAATGTAAGAAACAATTGTTTTTCTAAGTCCTCCACCAAGGCTGAATATCGCGCCACGTCAACTGCAAGTTCCGAGATTGTGTGGTTGCGAGGTCTGCTAGTTGAACTTGGAGTTTCCCAATTACAGCCTACGCCCCTTCATGGTGACAACATTAGTATTATTCAAATTGCAGCAATCCACTATATCATGAACGTACCAAACATATTGAAGTAGATTGTCATTACATTCAGGAGGCCTATAATTCCAACGTCATTGCTCTTCCCCATGTTTTCACGGCTCAACGGATAGCAGATATTTTCACCAAGTCCTTGAACGCGTCTCCATCATAATTTTCTAGTCAACAAATTGATGCTCGTGGACTTATCAGCATCAATTTGAGAGTGTGTATTAGAGTATTTAACACTAATTAGAGGCTTCCATGTATAGAATTGGTAGTTACTATAGAATCAGGGATTTTTGATTTTGTATTATTTCCTTAATTTTCTTTGTAATATTCTATATATATTGAAGCAATAAATACCAAAGATTTATCAAGCAAAATTCCTGTCACTGCCGAATGACATCAAGGGCCTCTGAAGAAATGAAAATGCTCAGTTTGAATAAACCCTTAGATTCTGCAACAGTAAACCCACCTACTTTCAAATAATGTGAATATCCCATCTTCTCAAATTAGACTACATCACCTCTTAAATTTATTAAAAGTTACTTTGCTCCAACTTCCAAACATGTTTTGATAATATATTCAAGAAAAAAATTATTTATTCTGATAGCAACTCTAACTTTACTTTCAAAATAAGTTACTTATTTTCTATGATGCATTGATACAGACACGCGTCTGACACGCAATTTTTCAAAAAAAGTATGTCACCGATCGTTGATTAAATTCTTTAAACTCTTCATTTATATAGCATAAATTTAGTTTATACTTGTTATTAATTTTTTTCTTCTTGAAATATTTTAAATATGAGTACTTATTTATCATTTAAAAAAATTAAAAGTTAAAAATATTATTAAAAAAAAGAAAGAAAAATGACAATAGAAAGGTTTCTGAGAAATGTCAGCTTTGGATATGTGTCCAACACAGACACACCAGTCTAGTCTAGTTTAAGTGTCTGTGCAACACAACTTATATTAAAACTTACTTATTAACTTACACGTAAGTTTTTAATGCTTAGCCAATCATATGCTCTAAAACATCCTCACATCCTACAAATAAAGCTCGCTGTTAACTTCAACAACTAAACCAGTCACAAGTTGTTAGAAGACAAACAAGACAGAATCCACGGAACAGAAAACTGCTCAGATTCCCTACTGTGCAACTAGAGGAGCCAACATGATATTCCAATCTGAAGCACAAACCTTCTCCAACGAATTTGTATAAAAACTTCCTAATAGTAAGTTCTCATAGATCAAATCTCTACAAACATTATCAGGCTCTCAAACCATACAAGATGTTTAATGCCCATCCTCCAGCAAATCAATTTATCCAATATCATAAATTTTAAGATCTGGAGACAACACACTTGACAATATTGCTTACCCCAAACAAACCAGTAAACAAATTTGTCAGCTAGTAGCCACATAGAAAACAATCAAGTGAGCAAAGAAATAATGTGAAAGCACAAGTATCGAAAAGACTATGACATGGATGGGAATCACAATTACTAAAAGAAGTGAAAGGTTTCTGCGTAGTGTTCATTTGAAGTTATGCTGGATCTTCATCCACTAATTGTATTTGATAACAGTCATAGATAGCAACAATATATTAGTAATGTTTTTTCCCCTATAATGACCAAGCACGTATTCCAAAACAATTTATAATGAGTTCGGGTAACAATATAATTTAATAGTCAAAGTCAAAAATTAATTTTAATCATGCATTTCATAGAACCCACACCACAACTACTATCCAATTATCCACCCTCATTTTTATCACATTATAATTTCAGGCCCAGCTGCTTATAATTTTATCCAAAAAAGAACATAGATACAAGTGCATCAAAATAAACATGGACCAATCTCATAATCAGAGTAATGGAAAGGCCGCCATATTTCCATATGGGAATACAGTTCAGCTACTAATCAAGAAAATAAATTACAGAAATGAGTATAATTCAAAGGCCTGATGCAGAACTTGTGGTTAAAAAGCGCAATTCAGTACTGTGCACGGGAGGATTTGGAGTAAACATATGATATTAGGATAAAAAAATTAGGCATTTTTGAAGAAGCTCCTGAATTTTAATATTATGGAATTAATTATTTTTACTGTTGAGTGTGTTTTAGTCTTTTCACAAGGGCTGATGCAAGTACTTTCCAAAGCGCATAAGGTCTCAAATTCTAACATAGTCCCACTTTTTCTGAAAAATCATGATCAGCATGCAAACCAGGAAAAGTGGTATGAAACACCTATCCAGGGGAAGGGGGGACAAAAAGAAAAAGAGAAAAACTTTGAGGATCCTCATTAATATTTCAATCCTTTAATTTCCTGCTCTCAACTATCTCCGGATATTAACATTTTATATTAAGTAGACAAATACATGGTATCAACTAGTGTTCTAAAAGACGTAATGTGTAAAAACCAAGCAATGGATTAGGCGAGGTTGGCATTTTCTTATTTTAATTTTTAAAATAAAAAAATCGTTTAATAATTAAAAATAATACCTACCAAAAATCTAAAACAAATTTATAGGAAATTTATACATTTTTTCAAAGTCTTCAACAAAAAGTTAAGTTCCAAGTGTAAATATTAAATAGTAAATAAATAGGAATTTTTGAAAGATTTCCTTCGTTCAAGGCTTCAAGCAGCTATTTTGAATTTAGAACCGACGAAGTGAAGAAATCAACATTTAAGTTTTAACATAGAAGAGTTGTAAAAAAATAAAAAAATAAAAATAAAAAAGAGAGATAATTATGTGAGCTTAGGAGCGCATTGCCAAGCCAATTGGCTTGGCATTTCTGCGTCGTCTTTTACAACAGTGGTATCAACACATCATCATTACAACTACTAGCATATGTCAAGATGAACAATTGAACAATCAGTTACTTATGGCTCCATATCAGTTAATGCACGTCTTCTTACAAAAACAAGGCCTTCTACTTCTCAACAGGCCACATTATTACAAGACAATTTATGGCAGCAGAAAAATAAAATAGAATTTTGCATAATAAATGTGATCAGCATGAAACTTCAGTTAAAATTTGTTGGAAAATATTTAATTTAAGTTTTAACTTTTCAAATTAATAATTTGTTGTTTTATTTTAATTTCAATTTAATACAAAATTGAATTAATAAAGTGTAACATACATAGCCCATGTTTGAGCCACATTCTAGGGGAAAAAATGCATTATTCATATCAAATCAATGGGAAATGTGTGGTTAAAAAATAAGGAAAAATTTTATATTTGCGTGTAATATTATTTTATTGAAGAATGTGTGGTTGAAATGATGTCAAATTACTATTAAAAAATGTATTTTTTTTTCAAAATAATGTGGCTCAAACAAGCCCATATTATAATTTGTGGTAAGTTTCAACTTTCAAGTTAAAATCTTTTAATTTTAGTTTTAACATAAAATTAAAGGACTATGAAACTTATATTTTAATTAGGATAATTCTCATTATTGTGAGGTTAAAGTTTATACTATAAAAAAGAGTCATTCTATAATTTGAGATAACAAGTTGAAGTATTGCTTTCTCTACAAATTTATTTTATATTCATACTATTTTGGCAATTCGACAAGAAACTCGTTCACTTATCTCTCTACGGTCGTGCTCATGGAAGTTTTATTTTGGAATCGTGTAGTGTTGAAAGAACCCGCACGAAGGGAAGGAACACAACTTTAGGACAGCGTTCTCAACGTGACTCCCAAAGCTTTTTCTAAATCTCTTCAATATTTTATGTTATATTATTCTTGAATTGTATTTATTATTTTATTGTGTTAATTATTAAATAAATCTATACACAAATCACTCAATTTTTCCCAACAAAATTCTCCATATAGCAAGAGTTATGGATAAGCTTTAGAACTTACTTGACAATAGCTCTTCTAGCTTTCAAAAAATGTTTCTGATTTATCACTCTCACAACATCATCAGGCGATATATTCTGTTCAGAACACAACCTGTCTTCACAAGAATCCATAACTTTTCTCACATCATGCACCGTATTATGTTCTGATGGAAAATCCCTTTTCGAAGTAGAATTATTTTCTTTATCCATGGCTACACTATGATCCCTCAAAACCCCATTACCATGCACACCAGTGGAATACTGTGGCTCGGAACAGAGCATTGGCCGCACAATGTGACCAGCCTTTGATCGGTCAATAACATTAGCAGGATCATCTCTTGGTTCAACCGTCTTATCGATTGATGAAGAAGCAGAAGGTACTGAATGGGAAATGGCATTTGTGGTGTTGGGGGGCAAAACTCCATGCCTAAATCTCTGTGAAGGAATACTAAGCTGCTCATAAAGGGCCATTTTGTTTCTTGGAGGAGCTCTTGGTCCTCCTTTTTCTGCATCATTCACATGGAGCCTTGGAAACATGGGCCGAATAATGTTCTCCTCATCTTTGCCTCTCTTCATCTTCACTCCTATCTATTAGAAACCGCTTTCTTCAATTCTTCAGAATCTCGAACAATTTCATATAAATCACCAGGAAATCCAATGTTCCAGATTTCAAATGTTAAGTATGTTTTCCCCCAAAAATTGAGGGAATCTATAAGAAACTGTACTTAAAAATATCGAACACTCAGATCATATCATATCATTTGCCACAGATTGAATTCCGAAAAAATAAACATTATACTTTCTCGCTCAAAAAAGAGAGAAGCAAACGCGCTCGTAGTAAAGCCAGATTCCCCACCAACATTGATTCCTGTTTTTTCCTCGATACAAAAAATAAAAAACCAAAAAAAATTAGATTGAATTAATCAATGTGTTATCCATATAATTGGAAGTAAAAGGGATCAAAGAAATGATGGGCAAAAAGGGATCAAGAGAGACCGAACGAAAACGCGAAAGTGAGCAAAAGGTCGATTCTTTGTGGACCAAATTTGGATAAATTCGATTCCAATGTCATGTCCTTCCAATATAATTTTGTAAATGAATTCTTAACTTTTTGGTGCGGAATAAACAGGGCCTTCAGATTTGGAGTTGAGGTGACGCAGCCTTAACTCCTTGTCACTGGGCCTGTCGAAAGGCCCCGTCACTGTAGCCTCTAACTTTTTTACTTTCTATTAATATCAAATTATAAAAAATACTTTTCATATGGTTTTAAATGATTTTTTTTTTTTAAGAACTAGCATTGGCCTGTGCAATGCACGTGCTTGAGTATTTTGAAAGTTTTGTTAATGTTTTGAATGTGTTGGATTCTTGATGGCAATATTTTCATTTGAGAATGTGGTATTAGCTAATATGCAATAGAACATCGAAAATAAGTGTATAATGTTTGAAAATTAAAAGCATAGAGAAGGTGGCATTCGTAAAGAAGCTGACATATATTACGAAGTAATATAGATTTACAATAAAAAAAATATTTATTTCTGTCCTCAATGAATACTCTTCGTCTTGTATATGTAAGGACAACAATTTAAAAGAAAAATATTCACCAAGGAATAAGTGAAGAGGTACATGAGGTTTATGGAAAATATATATTCCGTTGTTTCTCCCCCATCATCCAAGTTATGACCATTTTGTCAAATTCCAACAACACATCATTCAAATCCATCTACACGAGTACAGCTCATATCTTCACTTGCTACAATGAGAATTTCATACTCCATAACTGTCATCTATAACAAAAACCTCGAGCAATTCACAACCAATAGCTATGTGCCACTTGTTGGGAAATAAAATGGATCGAGGTAATATATATAATACGATATGAAGTATAGAATCGCAAACAAACAATAAGATAACAAGGCAAAGAACTAAAGAACAAAGGAATGAAATATATTATTCAATTGACTATTATAGAGAAAACAAATACAATAGCTGTACTTACACAATTATTCTATATTTTAGTAATACAAAACTTGTTAAAAGAGTAGTATTTATAGGGACGTACCCCACCAAACCCTAAAAATACCACAAAAATACAAAGAAGATAAAAAAATCATGTGGAATAAAGGAAAAAAAATTTCAATAAAAATGCATGGAATAAAGGAAAAATATTTTTCAAATAAAAATGCGTGGAATAAAGGAAATAACATTTTCTCAAATAAAAGAGCATTGGATAATGGAAACAATATTTTCCCAAAAAACAATCGGATTTGGGTCATGAACCCAACAATGAGAGAGAGAGAAAGGGACAGTGAGAAGAAGTAACGATGGAAGAATGTCGAATGAATGCCTTTACATTTATCTTCGGTATTTTCACATATAGTATATATAACCTGTTTGGTGGAAATTAAAATTAGATATTTAGTAGATTTTGATAAAAAAAAAATTGAAATATATGGTTGAAAAGTTGTTGGACCATGAAATGCGTGTTTAATATTGATTGTTTAACTTAAACTAAAATATAATTTAAATCAATACCAAACAGAGGCATAACATTGCAGGGAAAGATTAGAGAAAGAGTAAAAATAAAAAATAAAAGTGAAAAGTAGTAAACTATTGCAAAACTGGTTTGTAACAAGATAAGTGTGAAATGAAGTTTCAAGAATGAACAGTGAATAAGCCATCCTCTCTTTTCTTTAGTGCTAGTTTTCTGCGCGTGCAATGCACGAGCTATGTCATTTTTAGGTAATATTAAATTATTAACGTGTCAAAATATTTATTCAGTTATCTCAATAAATTTTCAAATTTGATTAATTATTTTAAACGATAAATAGAAATGTAATATTCATATATAACACACTTTTGACATTAAAAAAAAAAAAGTTTATTAGAAAATTTTCTGAATGACATCAAAAATTTTGTTAGATTATTCAAAAAATTAATTGATCGAGAGGAAAAAGTAACAATAAGAAAAAAATTTCTAAAAACGATCGAATTTCTTTTATATATAAAAAAATTTCAAATGTTAAAATATTAAGATGAAAAATTAGTTGGCCTCAATTTTGTGTTGCTATAATTGAAATGTATTTTCTAGGGATAGGATAAATGTTCTCTTGATGCATAGATTAAAAACCAAAATTATTGGAGCCCATAAATTAAATATTATTTTAGTTTGAGTGATTATTTTACATATAAAGGACTTATTTGATGATAAATATATTCAATATAATTAAATCGTGTAATTAGTTGAATCTTTTTTTTTATTGTTCGATATCCAATTGATTTAATGAGTTTTTTTTTATTTACGTATAATATTATTTTATGAAAAATTCTGCGATTGAAAATAAAAGAAAGAAAAACGAGAAAAAATTTAATGGAGCCAAACACAAGTTGAGCCACAATATAATATTTTGTCACTTCAATGGGGTTGAGATTATTATTTAATCACCCAATTTTGATATATTTGAATTTAATCTTCCAAAATTTATACACATCTAAAATATTCAATATTGTCAAATAAATTAATCGACATCTTTTTTACTGAGTATTAATTTTTTTAAATATTATGTTAAGTTTTACTTTGATTTATCACAACCATTTTTAGAAAATAAACAATATACATGATTTAATATACTCCGTGTCTTATTATATAAGGGTAAAATAGATTTGTATAAAAAATATATCAATCACCAAGGAAAAAAGGAAATTATATTGACAAAATTGTCGCGAAAAAACAATAAACATTAATAAAATAATTGATTTTTTTAAAGAAAAAGGACGAGTTATACGTATTTTTTAACACGTTTAACTATCTTCGATATTCATTTAGATCATTTGATGTATCTATTATATAGTTCTCGAAATAAATTTCAAGAGAATATAGAATATTTATAAAGACTTATGATAGATTTTTATATAAAAAAAAAAACTAAATAAATCACATAGTAAAAAAATAAAAATAAAAAATTTGACACTGAACATCATCTATATTAATAAATTAAAAAAAAAAGTTGCCTAACATGGAGCAAAATTGCTCCGCGCATCACGGAGCATTTGCTTTGTGATGCGAGGAATTGCTCTATTGTTTTTTTTTTGTCAAATTTTTTTTTTCATTAGTGATTTATTTATTTATTTTTATAAAAATCTATCATAAATTTTCTATATTCTCTCGAAACTCATTTCGAGAATTATATCACAAACATATCGAATGGTCTAAATGAATATCGAAAATAGTTAAACGTACATCAAACGTGTGTGTTAAGAAAATGCGTATAACTAGTCTTTTTCTTAAAAAAATCAATTATTTTATTAATGTTTATTATTTTTTCGTGACAATAATTTTTGACGCCATTTAGAAAATTTCCTAATAAACTTTTAATTTTTTTTAATGTTAAAAGAGACATCATTTAAAAAATTAAATATTTTGATAACATGCTAACTTTATAAATTTATCGACGATTTTACGATAGTCGAATGCATAAATCTTCTATATTCTCTCGAAACTCATTTCGAGACCTATGTCATAGATGCATTGAATGATTTAAATGAATATCGAAAATATTTAAAGGTACATCAGACCTGTGTTTTAAGAAATACGTATAACTCTTCTTTCTTCTTTAAAAAAAATTAATTATTTATTAATATTTATTATTTTTCGCGATAATTTTTATAATAAAAATATTATGTGGTATAAACACAAGATCAATTATCCAAGGAAAAAAAATTGATGTACCCGGTTAAAAGTGAATGGCTCATCGGCATGCATGTAACAGTCAAATGGGTAATAATGAAATGCTTCCTGAACGAATAGTAACTGGCATGATAAAAAAATTCCTACAATTTGCTGCCACAATTTTTGTCTCACTCTCTCATGATGTACGAGAATATTTTTTTTGGAAGGGACAACTAAGTAACTCACTTGTGTAAGTCAACAATGAAGGCCATAAAGTGGTCTCATTAATTTCATTTCTAGAAGCTACAACATCTAACGAAGTGAAAGAATATTTTTTAAGTGAAGTTACAGTAACTGTCAGCAAATGGTTTTATAAAGTCAATAAAGACAGCAATATTGCTGCCATATTTCATTATTACTTCTAGAAAAACTTTTTTTTGTGATGAATAATGCATAACGAGTTCAACTATAATACAAAACCAATTAAATGTGAAATTGCTGCCTCAAATTGAACAGTAAATGTTGAATCCTCTCTTTTAAAGTAAAGGGGATATCGGGATTTATTATTAAATATTAAAAAATTATAATTTCATGTACAAAATCAATTCATTGAGAAAATATTTAATTTAAAATAAGTTTTGAAAAATAATATTTTTTAAATAAACTGTACTTTTCTTTCTTAATATAACATTTTTAAGAAAAACTTACAAAATATACCTTCTATATAGGAGTGAATTGTTTCAAAAATTACTGAACTTATACAATGGTCACGAACTGCAGATTGAGCTTCATTATGCTTCACGATACTCATTGAACTTTACCATTTAGCTCTCCATCCACCACCGTCAAAAAATTTGTTTGTTGGTCGCTGATGTGGCAGACGAACTTTCTACGTGTCGTGTGACGATCGGTAAAAATTGAAATTTTCGATTTTTTTTTCCCGGTTAGCATAATCGTGTTTCTCAAAACACAGTTTTGCCCTCAAAATTAAAAAAAAACGAAAAATTTAAAAAAATCTCCAAAATCAAAAAACACACTGGACTTTCTCCAAGTCAAACCCAGCAACTCACCATTTGAAAACGATCTCTGGACTTCCAAATTGGTTTTCACCCAAACCCTCTACAAACCCTAATTGGCTAATCCCAAACTTGGAAGTGTTCTCCACGCATATGCCACCTGTTGAACCCTTGACGGACGCACACATGGAGGGACCACACGAAGGTAACTTTGAAGAATTTTTGTTTGTTTTCTTTTCATTATTTTCACGTGTCGTCGGTCACAAAGATTTTTTTTTCTTCTTAGAATTGTTTTGTACATGTTCAATTTTGTTTCTATGTATACAATCATTTTCTTTTGATTTGCAGATTATGACCCATTTCAAGAACACCACAACTCTGCAAATGACAAACCTTCAAACCATGGAGA